ATTTTATTGATTTTTTACAGAGAGGAAGAGAGAGAGATAGAGAGTTATAAACATCGATGAGAGAGAAATATCAATCAGCTGCCTCCTGCACATCCCCCGCTGCGGAAGTGCCCACAACCCAGGTACATGCCCTTGACTGGAATCGAACCCGGGACCTTTCAGTCCACAGGCCGACGCTCTACCCACTGAGCCAAACCGGCTCGGGCAAGGGGTGCTCACTTTTAGAACCAGAGATGCCTGTGGTGGGGAAGGCGGGGCTTCTGTTCCCCACAGCGGGGGGCGGTGCCCCTTCCCGGTGCTGAGGGGTCCCTGTGCCCGTCTGTCCTCAGCTGCCCAGAAGCTCTGCCGCCTGCTGGGACTGGGGGTAACGGACTTCTCCCGTGCCCTGCTCACCCCCCGCATCAAAGTTGGCCGGGACTACGTGCAGAAAGCGCAGACCAAGGAGCAGGTGGGCGGTGCGGGGAGGGGGGTCGGGGGGTCGGGCGTGGGGAGAACCCCAGCCAAGGTCCCGGGTCTCAGTGGCTTATGCCGTTTTTCCTCGCTCACTCAACCAACTTTTGCTGGGTGTTGGCCCAGTTACGGCTCTGGTCTGGGTGCCGGGGATAAAAGCAGTGGTAGGAACACAGACAATACAAGAGAAACGGGATGCTTCGAGGCGGGGATGCCTTCCATGAAGGGGAGGGCCAGGTGGTCAGGAAGGTCCTCTCCCGGGAGCTGATGTTCAGGTTGAGACCTGGACGTGCAAAGGCCCTGGGGTTGGAACAAGCCTGGCGAGTTGGGAACATTAAGGAGGTCAGTGAGGCTAGAGAGTGGGGAAGAGGGTGGTTGAAGCTGCAGGCAGAGGTTGGGAGGGGATAGATCATAGAGGGACTTAGAGGCCACAGTAAGGAGGTGAGTTTTAGTAAAAGTGCAGCAGGAGGCCAGCGAGGGTTTAAGCCAGGGAGCAAGTTGACTCTGTTTGTTTTTTGTAAAAAAAAAAACACCTCCTTTTCTTCTTTTTTTTTGGTTAATCTTCACTCGAGGATATTTTTCCATTGATTTTTAGGGAGAGTGGAAGAGAGGGAAAGACAGAGAGAAACATCGATGTGAGAGAAACACATTGATCGGTTGCCTCCTGCATGAGCCCTGACCAGAGCCCAGGCCAGGGAAGAGCCTGCAACCGAGGTACGTGCCCTTGACCGGAATCGAACCTGGGACCCTTTGGCCCGTAGGCGTGGTCTATGCACTGAGCCAAACCGCCTGGGGCTCCTTACCTTCTTATAAAAAAATGTTTTTATTGATTTCAGAGAGGAAGGGAGAGGAGAGGAGAGAGAGAAACAGCCATGATAGAGAACCATGGATCGGCTGCCTCCTGCACGCCCCCCACTGGGGATCCAGCCTGCAACCCGGGCATGTGCCCTGACTGGGGATCAAACCCTGACCTCCTGGTTCATAGGTGGACACCTAACCACTGAGCCACGCGGGCCGGGCAAGGTCTCCTTATCTCCTGTGTGGAGAACGGAGAGCAGGGGGCACGGTGGAAGCAGCGAGTCATGACGAGGCTGCTGCCATAATCTGAGCAAATGACTGTGAGGCTGAGCCCGGGCTCACCATGGCGGGGGAGGAAAGGAGTCAACATGGGCTAGAGGTTTGCAGGGTCCAGCTCTTGGGCAGAGGCCTCTGCCTACCCCAGGCTGGGCACTCAAGGTGCGGTGACCCGCACCTCGGAGAGGGTCCGACGGGTAGAGGTGGCGTGGGATGAAATACAAGAGACCATGAGACGGGGTTGGGAGGACTGGCACAAGGCACCAGCACCAGCAACTTTATTCTTTATACACACTGCTTTATAGCTAAGCTGTGGCTGGTCATGCTTCATAGATCACTGCTAGGGCTTGGCCTATCATAGGAAAGTAGCAGATTGTTACAGGCTGGGCAAGACTGGGCAAGCTTTGTCTAGATCCATCTATGTTTGACAGTTACTATGACAATCAGGTTACAGTTACTGTGACAATACCTTTAGCTACAGAGGTCGTGCCTCGGTCAAGCCTTGTCTAGTTCCGCTTTGCTGCAAACTTTAATTAAGCCTTTCCTGAGCTTCGACCTTAAAACCTTCCAGGATCAATGTAGGGTAGAGTCCAGGGCTTTGCCATGTCCTCTGGTCAGCTTAGACTTTGCCAGCAGCATGACGGTCCCCAACATCAAGGTACGAGGATGAAGACACACAGGGGGAGACGGGGACCAGAGGTCAGAGGTCACACTGACCAGAATTCCGCTCTCTGCTGAGGTACGGTTAGGATCCATTTCACAGATGAGGACATTGAGGCACAGAGAGGTTTATTCACCTGTCCGCGGTAACACAGCCTCTAATGGCAGAGTCAGGATTTGAACCCAGGTTGGCAGGCCCCAGAGCCCACCCTCTTGACTGTGATGCTGTCTAGTTGGTTCAGGGAGTAGGGGGAGGACGAACGGACTGATGAGCCCGAGTGTGTCACATCCCAGGGCTCGAGGAATGGTCGGCTGCTGTTCATGACCTCATTCTTAAACCACGGGGTGGGGGCGGGGCCGAGGACGGGCTGGGGCCCCGGTGTGTGGGCCGGGCCCTCACTGTGCATCCCGTCCTGCACGCAGGCTGACTTCGCGCTGGAAGCCCTGGCCAAGGCCACCTATGAGCGCCTCTTCCGCTGGCTGGTCCTGCGCCTCAACCGGGCCCTGGACCGCAGC